ACTCTTTCCTGCCTATGCAGGGGGTCGGACTCGATGATCTATTGAGGTCCCTTCCAACCCTAGCATCTATGAATCTATGAATAACCCAAGGAATTCTATACTGCTTAAATTAATCACTGTCATATTTGATTCAATAAATCTCCCATCTTTGAAAATACCTCAAGCTGCTGGAGAATTTCTAGTTTACAACAGAATTCAGCACCAGAAAGGCATGAAATAGGAAGCTTTGCTACAGTAATCATTGTCATTTAGCCTGTGTACACCTTTAGGATCAAGCAGTCAAAATAGGAAAACAAACCCCACTTTTGCAGCCTTTAGCATCCTATCCTCCCCAGAGAATTCCAGATGTATTACAGATGTGTCTTAGCACATCACAACAGCCTTAGTGGCTTCTGTACTTGAGAACAGCTGCTTACCGAGTCCTAAAAAGAGAGGCCTTCCCCTCCCTGCAAATATCCTGTAGATTAGTGCAATTAGCAACCCTCTATAAAAACAGCTCCCATGCCAGGAAAAATGAAAATAGCAAGGAAAGTGCTTTCCCAAACCACAGAAGGGTAGATGGGGCTTAATGGCACTTAATATTGTTTCCTATAATAAAATAATAAGGAGGGGAAGGAAGAGGATGTCAGGGAAGTTCCCAGAGGTGCTAAACAGGACCTCATTGCACTGGGTTGACCCAGAAAGTGAAACAGTCCCTGCATTGCAGAGTTTAGAGTCTAATGTGTATGCATACAGTGATTATGCCCCTTTTCTTACCCTTTGGGGGCTGACTGTCCTAGATCATCTTATAGCCTGGAAAGGACCCTACCTTTGAATAGGTACAGAGCCCTGCACCATCCGTCCTCAATGCAGGCTTGAATACTTGAATGCAGCTATAGTGACAGCATCTGCCAGGAAAGGGTAGTGGCAGGGTTGGTGGCTGCCCACAAGAGAGCAGCTTCACCTCCTGGTCATCCTGTGTCGATGGTGAGCATCTTTCACTTTGGCTCAGGCCTGCCTGTGGCCAGGATCCCGCTTGGTGCAGAGATCAGGGTCAAGTGTTCCTACTGAATTGTGGTTCTGGTGCAGGCTGCAGATTTGGACTCTTCTCTCTGTCAAGAGGCATCTGCCAAGGGACAAAAAGTCAGGTAAAAGGTAAGTTCTCCAGCTTGAAATCGCTGCTCCCCTCCTATCATCCGATGCACCCTAAGCAAGGTCCTGCCTTCCCACCCCCTTACTTCCCTGTAGCCAGGCACTCCCTTGGTCCCATCAGGGCCATCAGCAACTCCCTGAAGCATCCCTTTGCCCCAGATGTCAAAATGATACCCCTTCCTGGCGATCTAAGCTCCTCAATCAAGTGGCAAGCCTAGTGGCACTCTGCCGAGGTGACAGGTTTCCGCAGCGAGGGGAAGGTAAGTGCCAAGGAGTATTAATAGTGCTACTCGATTAGTTAAGGGAAAGGTACATGTGATACCGCCACTGCGCTCCCTGAGTATCTGACACCAGTGAGGAGGGGGTAATCGCCTGCCCAAAATAGAAAGGGCTGGGAGCCTATATAAGTGGGGTTCCCACCCTGGGTTTCACCTCCCTTTGACACCACCTCAGCATCCAGCAGCCCTTTCCAGCACTTCATAGGCAGCCACCAAAGGTGAGTAGCAAGACAGGGTGACACTCCCGCAGCTGGGATGGATCCACTGAAGGGATTTTCACCTGGTGAAAAATCAACTGCAAGATCTCCCCAGATAATTGCCATTGAGCAGAGGGAGAGGAGAGGCTCCAGCCCCCCTAAGGGAGAGGAGAAGCAGTGATCCCTGCCTCCCAGCTGACTGACTGCAGTGGAAGAGCCCAAAGGAGGGAGAGAGAGAGAGAGAGAGAGAAAGAAAGGACTGCATGGAAGGGGAGGATAACTAAAGAGGCAGGGGAAAGGAGGAGGAAACAATGACAAGGGGGGTGGAAACAAAGGGAAACAATGGCATGAGAGGGAAAGGAAAAGGGAACAACATTGGCTGAAAGACGCCAAAGTAAAACTTTGCAGCCAAAGCAGAGCATGTGGCAAGAGAGGCTCAAGCACCCTCTCCCCCCGCACCAGCATAGCCTCCACCGGGCTGGGCAAGGGATGCCTGGGGCCCACCTGGGCATGGGGGTGGCACTGTCCCAGGTTGTTTGGGGTCCGCAGGTTTGTTTTTGTCTCCTTGTGTTCAGCAGATTTGTTTTTCTCTCCCTGGTGGAGCGATCAGCCTGGGCAGGCAACGGAGGTGGGGGGGAGTGGAGGCTTGGCATGGCTGCAGCAAAAAGGTAAGCAGTACCAGGCAGGGAGTGCAGAGAAAAAGGGGGCACAGCCCAGTGGAGGCAGGATGAGGAAGGACAAGGGTCATGCAGCACCTTCCAGTCCCCTCTAACTACAGCCTGGGGAGCCACTTAGCCAGAGCTGACTAAAAGACTCTGCAAGGAAAGTGGGGGGAATCCATGCTGGACCCCAGCTCAAAGCCCTTCCAACCCTGGAGCTGCCTCTATGTGGCAGAAGCAAAGGCTGCTGATCCCTGCGCTCCTGGGGTGGGAAAGGGAGGGCATGGCCATGCTCTGAGGCTTCCTAGGCAGCATTTATGCCCCTGGGTTGAGGGGTCTGAGGCAGGGGTCTCGGTTGGGGGGGTCTCAGGCAGGCTGAGGCCCAGGCAGGGGAGATGTGCTGGCTATGGGGAGAGGGGCTGCTGTGGTCCCCCTGCCACAAGCACCTGTTTTGCTGACAGCTGTCTGACTCGAGCGGAGCTGAGGGGAGCCTGCCAGCACAGTGTGCTTCCCCCCAGAGCCTGCCACCCCCTCCCCACCCCAGCTTGAGTTACCTGCTGGGGCAGCCCTCCAAAGAGGCTGCTGCACTGTCAGCAGAGAGAGGCAGAGCCCAAAACACAAGTCACCTGCAAGCGGGGTATCCGGGCAAGCCGCGACAGGGCTTAAGGGCTGAGTCAAGCTCTGCTGAGCTGCGGGGGGAGAAGCTGAGCAACAGGTGGTCCGGAGCCACGTCACCATGTGCACGCGGACCCTCTGCCACTGGAGACAAGTGGGGGCTTCTCCCTCCTGGGCAGGTGCAAGGGGGAAGAGAAAGGCACTAGGGCTTTCTTCTTCACTCTCCCTCTCTCTCAATGCAAGAGCTCCATCCTTGGCTAGCCGAATCCTTGGCTGGGATGAGATAGCTGGGGCTGGCCCTGCTTTGAGCAGGCAGTTAGATGGCCTAGAGGTGACCCCCCCACCCCTTCCCCAAGGTCCCTTCCAGCCCTCCTTGGCTACAATTCTAACTAGGGGGTATACCACAAAGCCATCCGGCCATCCTTGTTCACGCAGCTCCTCGTGCCAGCATGGAGCTCCTTGCTGCCAGCTGCTGGGGAAGCTGAGAGTTTAGCCAACTTCCACTAAAAAAAAGGATGGGCCCAATTCTTGGAGAAAAGGGACATCAGGAGCAGAGTGAGGGACACAGCGTTTGAATCCCAACTTCCTCCACCTGAAACGCTGGAGCCTGCAAGCCAGAGGGCAACAAGGCGGAGTGAGGGAAAGCCTGGCCCTACCCAGCGCTCTTCCCCCATTCAGCACCGTTCTCTGCCCCCGTGTGCCTGGGGACACTGCTGGGCTCTGGCCTGGTAAATGCCCCTTCTTCTGCTGCACCCAGGCTGGTAAATGCCAGCTGTGGGGGTGAGTGGATGGGCGGCAGCCCCCAGCACAGCACTTTGTGACAAGACAATGGGTGACACAAAATGGGGGGGGGGGTGGAGGGG